ATTTCAAATGGGACGGTAAATTGTTTCTTAAAGATGTCTTCTGTTGTTGCTCTTGTTACAAATTGTACAATTACATCTCTTGGTAAATTTTTCTTTTCCGCAATTCTGGAGTTCACTCTGTATATCAAGTCAAAGTCTGCTTCCATTGTTCCCTCTTCCTCTTCCAAGTATAAAGTTATTGCTTTTATCATTTCCTCTCTTATATTTTCATTCTCTTTTTCTTTGATACCTCTGAATCTCAAATGAGTTTGCATTCTTCTGAACTCCATCATTGTTTCCGATCTTCTAAATTGCTGAGTCAAAGAATCCTGTTTCTCTTCCAATTGTTGCATTTTTTCCTCTGTCTCTGTGGTTTTGGTTGCATTAGCCTGTATTTCTTTCCTGACTCCGTCTAATTCTTGCTTGATTGAAGTAGTTTCTGTTGTAACCAATTCTTTTAGTGCTGCTACATTTTTCTCCTGGGCTTCTTCCATTTGTTTCAGATGAATCTGAGTTTGCTTTGCCATCTGTTCTTCCAGTTGCTTCTCCATATGTTTTTCTTGCACCCCCAGTCTTTTCTCAATCTGCTCACCCATAGCTTGAATCGCCTCCATCATCCTTTTCTCCATCGATTCCATGGCGGCATACAATTCTTTCTTGTCCTCCTCCCTTTCTTTTGACATTTTGGGGGTTGCCGTTGAGCCTGTCCTTGATCTCACAACTGGTTGAACGTCAGGGTCAGAATTGGCTCTTTTCGGTGCCCTTCTAGTCTCCGTTTTGGCAATTTCTCTGCGGTGCGCAAATTCACAAAACAAGTTGTCTCTTCTAGAAGATAAACTTTCGACTGTCCAAATGCATCTATTTGCGCCTTCAAAAGTCTTCTAAAAGGTGTTTAAAAATCAATTTAAGTTAAAGTCCTCCTCAAAATGTCGGGCGCAACTTCTCTATGGTAATTGGGGGTAGAGTAGGTCAGTTTGCCATTCTGCAGGTCCCGTCTGTTCGCATACACTCACATCCGGTCCTGCAGTTTAAAAAGTCCGAGTTTCTTCCTGTTGGTTGTTACCCTTCTAGGATGTCGTCTTCCTGTTCAGCCCACTCGGAATACTTTACTGGTTACACCAACCTAACTCTTCCCGCGATACTGTTCGTCAGTTTCGGTTTTTCTGCTGCGCGCACATCTCCGATCTCACCGCAGGAATGTTAAACAATATGCTTTTTTGCTATTTTATAGTCTTCAATCAACTATTTCTTTGAAAGGCTGTTGGTTTTTAAGGTACCCAAAATACTCCTGCATCTTTTTGAATTAAAAACCAGTACTAGATTAGCCAAATGTTGTCCGATGGTTATTATGGATTGGAGCAGAAAACTATGAATTGGAAACAATTATCCCATTGTTCTAATAGAACCAAGGCCTAGGCACCATTCCTGGGAGTAAGTTCCATATGATTAAGTGGGCCTTCAAGTAAACACGCGGAGGATTGGGTTGCATGCAGGGTACCTAACCTCTGTGTGGGGCCTGGATTTTTCCTGGCATTACAGTTGATCTTCCAGACTACAGAAATCAGGTCCCCTAAAGGAAATAGCAGCTTTAGAGAGCTGCCTCTAGGGCATCACATCCTCACTGAGCTCCCTCCCCAAAACTCTCCTCTCCTCAGTCACTGCCCCCCCCCCCATCTTCAGGAACTTCCCACACCAGAGCTGCCACCTCTAAGCTGCATGATGCCTTCAGGATCAAGAGCATTGTCAGTAATAGGGTTGCCAGTCCCCCCGCCTGCAAATGCCCTGGAACACAACATGATGACATCACCGACGTTACGTGGCAACGCTCTAGTTTTTGGGCCAAACTCTATGGTAAAATTGGGCTCAAACCATAGAGTTTTGCCCAGGGGTCATTTCCTGTAGGAGCGCACAGGAGCGGAGCTCCGGCAGTAAAGAGCCCAGGGGCGGGCGCATGCAACAAGCCCTACCCCCTGCTCCCAGCAGCCCTCAGTCAGAGAAAGAAGCAGCCAGGTAAGTTGCAGAGCCCCCCCAGTCCAAAACAGTCCAGTGGCACCTTTAAGACCAAGTTTTATTCAGTTACAAGCTCTCCCTCCTCTGTGAGGGCAGATCTGCACGTTCCCCCCCCCCAATAGCTAGCAATCCAAAACAGTCCAGTGGAGCCTGAGCAGTGGGTGCTGCCTTCTGACACACTTCCGGTGATGTCAGGGGGTGTGGCGTATGCAAATAAGTTATGCTAATGAGTTGTGCTAATGAGCTCCTGCACCTCTTTTTCCACTAAATGACCCCTGGTTTTGCCCAAAAACTAGAGCATTGCCATGTGACATCACCGTGCCCTGTGCACGAAGCACATGCAGTAGAAGATCCTGGCAAGGCCCAAAGATCCCCCCGCAGGGAAGAAGGGAGGACCTGGCAACCCTAATCAGTAATGCCACTATTAAAAAAAAAAAAAAGTGAGTCTCAAGAGACCTACTGCCAAAATCCAGTTCTCTACAACAGAGTTAGCTCCCACTAGCTAGGGCTTCACTTTAAATGGCCAGAGGAAATAAAACGAAACCTTTCCTTCAGTTCAGACACAGAACACCTAAAAGGAAGAATATCTTACACAGAATAAAGGACCTTATAGATAAACTACCTTTCCAATGTAAAAAAAATAACGAGGCACCCCAGGTTTATCATGGGAAACAGTTTAGCACATATTAAAAACAAAATAAAACTAAATGTGCTATTGGAGCACACCGTTGTGATGGTAACATGTAATGAAAATTAAATCCATCTGGATCAATAGCTTTGGTGTATCTTATTAAATCTGGATCACAAGTCCCATCTGATTTTGTACAGTGCCTGCGGCTGTGAAGCCTTGACATAAACCAGGCAGACATCAGCCTGAGAGCCGGAGACGGAGGAAAGAGCCAGAGACAGGTGGAGACAGACAGAGGCTTGGCAGCAGTTCAGTCTCACCCATGTTTGCTCAGAAGGAGGTCCCATCAAGTACAAGGTGGGGGCTTGACGGCTTGTGATCTTTGAGACAGACTGTGCCACTCTCATTTAACGGCCTTTTGGTCCCACTGTTTGCAATGCGGAGTGATGTCTAGTTACTAGGAGCTTTATTATTGTTGTTTCATCTATACTAAAGCCTGATTTAAGCTGCCAACTGGGAATATGCTTCATTAATCTGATGGTGGGCTCTAGTCCATGATAACTATGCTAAAAAAAAAACCCTATAAAAGATGCTAGAAGATGCCTGTGTGATTCAGGAGGCAAACAGAACCTTAACACAAAATATTTTGAAACATTGCTGAAAAGCTCCAACTCCTACCGCCATCAAAAGGGCTGCTTCATACATTACAATCAGACATTTATTTGTCTAATTGCCACTATTGTGTTGTGAGAGTTACTGCCTCACACGTCACACAACCAGAGCACTGTCATTAGCTGTTCAATTTGCAGTTAAGTAGTCCTCTGAACTGGCCTTCATTGTATGTTTATAAGTTCACTGGCTTGTAGGAGAAATGGTATCAGGAGACTCCCTGTACGGTCAGGTTGTCTCCCTGTCTTTCCTATCTGCTATGGAGGGACTCTGATGTCCTGTTTGTTACTCCAGATAGGGTATAAGCTAGTAGAAGGCTAATCCAGAGGTCCTAAAGTGAGAGGCGCCATCTCATTCAACATTTTGTGCCTCTCCGCTACACCAAAATTCCAAAGTAATCCAACGTTTCTCTAGTATTTGCTCTTTCCGTTTCATAAAATGGAAAATCCTTAAAGGTCAAAAGGGGTAGCTGTGTGAGGGCCAAAAGAGATGTGACAACAGGAGACTTCTCAACCATGCTTTTTAAAAGGATAATAGCAGCCGTGCTGGATCTAAATTCAGGCCATTATGCAGACTTAGGGTTACCAGGTCTGGGAGATGGGGGCATAGGGTTGCCAGATCTAGGTTGGGAAACTCTTGGAAATTTGGGAATGGAGCCTGGGGAGGACAGGGACCTCTGGTAGGGTACAATGCCATAGCGTCCACCCTCCAGAGGAACTCATCTCTGCAGTCTGGAGATGAGCTGTCATTCTGCTGGATCTCATGGACTTTGTGGATCCAAACTCACCGTCTACCTCCTTGTGTTGTTATTGACCAACGGGGGGGGGAACACAAGCCCTTCTCACTGTCCATTTTTTACTTTCCATAGTTAATGATGGAATGGAGTGAGGTTGGCGCTGATTAGTGAAATAGTGTATGTTCTCTCTAGCTGCACCATACCCCCAGACCCAGCTGCTAGTGCCCTTTTTTAAAAAAAGAAAAGAAATGCTGAGATCTTTCACTGTCTTGTATCTTTAGACCTTTAGTTGCTTGTGCAACACAAACAGAGCCCTGATTGGCACTTTGAAGACTAACAGTTTTATTGTGCAAATGCTTTCCTGGTCTAGAGGCCAAAGGCCTCTTTTTGCTGTCAGTATGTAAGCCATCACAAACCTTGCTTTTCAAACTCTTCGAAGAGATTCAGGCTAGTAATACTGGGGCCAGTGAAGACGATGTAGTTTTTCCCTGCAATGTTCTTACAAAGACTCTTGGCCACCATGCTGTGGAGCTGGGTTTTGTTCTTCAAAGCTTCCAGGCCTTCAGCACCGCTTCCTTCTTTCAGATGGACATAAATCTTAACAATCAAGCAGAAAGAACAGCAGAAGAAAAGTTAATTTGTGCAGAGGCCTATGGCAATTCTGTGGCCCTTCCTGGAGACCAATTTAATAAACATCAATAGAGAATACTTGAGCAGTGCTAGGGACTATTCACTCTTTTTTTAAAAAAATGTCTGTTGTGACTGTAGTAAGAAATTCAGTCCCCTAGAAATGGAACAGTAATTCTATTCAAAACATATTATTTGAAAAAAGCAGATATTCTTAAGAATGATGCCAAGCAATCCGATGACAGAAGGTTGTATCGTTTATTGGCTTCACAAAATATAGCAGTTATTGAAGCGGTTGCTAAGTTCTGTAACTGCCTTATAAAGAGGAAGCTGTGTGTCAAATCCATGAACTGAATGGCGATTGTGTATGGTTATGATCTATGCCAATAAAGGTTTTGAACTTTGAACTTTTTTTGAAAAAAGCACATTTTGGCCTGGTCTCTTGTCACAAATGGGTAGATCCACTGAAACAACTATTGAGGGTGCAGCCAGACATACTTGTTTTTAAAGAGCTGGTCCTGGGTTCCACAGACCCAACAATGGCATTTAAAAAACAGAGGAGAACGGTTTGAGCTTGGAATGCAGCCATGGGAGACAGGAAGTCTCCCAGCACTGAAACTGTGTGTGTGTGTGGGGGGGGGAGTTATTTCCCTGTTTCTGCTGTTCCACATGCACAGAATACTCCATACGGAGCAGCAAAATGGAGAAATAATAGGGTTGCCAGGTCCCCTCATCGCTCCAGCGGGGGGATTTGGGGGGTGTTCCAAGGGTGGGCGGAGATGCCTCAAGCCCTGCCCCCAAGCCCTACCCCCAAATGAGGCCACCCACCCACCCCTCCCCCTCCCCCTGTGGCACTCAGGCGGAGAGAAATCATGTGGTCCCTGCCGATCAGCTGAAGCCCTTTAAATCGGGCAGGAGGGGAGGAAGAGGGGTGGCCAGGCGGGTGGTCATGCTTGGGTGCAGGGCTTCCCCCACTGGACAGCTGTCTGTCCTGGGGGCTGGCAACCCTCAGTACTGTACAGGAAAACAGCTTGGGGGGGAGAGTAGGGTTGCCAGGCATGACCTGGCAACCAGCAGGAGACCAGGGGGAGTGGCCACTGACAATGGTAAAATCATTGAGTTTCCAATGATTCCTAGAAAGCCATGACATTACTTTTAAGTTTTCCCAGGAAGTGAGCTCACACTGGTGGCCCAATGGCAATTTTTATATTCCTCTCCCACGGCCACTAACAGGACCTGGAGACAGGGGATTCCTTGCTCCAGGCAGGGGCATAGCAATCCGGGGGGGGGGGAGTGAGAACCTTTCCTCCCCCACAGTGACATTCTGAGTCCAAACAGTCCTTCAGTTTTTAAAAGCCATTCCCCACAGCCACTCAGCATACGGTTGCCAAGTCCCTCTTCCACCCCCAACCGGGGACTTTGGGGGTGTTCCTAGAGGGGGTGGGGCATCCCCGATGTGATGACGTCACGTTGGGGACATCCGCCGCCCCCCCCACACCCGCCCGTGCATTGGAACTCCAGAAACGGCAGTTCCCTGCCCTTAAAGGAGCCGGTGTTTCCCTTTTAAATGCAGCAGCTGGCATTTCCCCTTTAAGAGCAGCCACATTTCCCTTTTAAGAGCACGAAGCTGGTTGTCCGGGCTTGGGAGGAAACATGGGTTCCACACACTTAAAGGGAGAGAGGGGGTGGCTGTGGGTGTTGGGGGTGGGGCTTCCCCCACTGGCCATCTGGCCTGCGGCGGGGAGGAACCCCCCCCAAATGTTGGCAACCCTAACTCAGCAGCTGTGGGGAACATCTAGTTGGGCCCTCAGCTGAAAATGTGAAAGGCCTTGTTTGTAATTGTCTAGATAACAATGGAATGGTTGCAGTTCTCTATTACTGCTGCAGGAAGTACAGTCCACAGATACATGAAGAGCTTTCCCTTCCTTTGTAGTTTAAAAGATGTCTGTCACTGGCAGTAGAATCCTAAACAGGGTTACGCCTTTCTAATGCAACTGAATGGGTTTAGAAGGGTGTAACTCTGTGTAAGACTGCATTGTAATATCCCTTTGGCATCAGACAACCACTTAGGGTTGCAAGATTAAACAAGGGAAATTCCATCCAAGGGATTGTTAGGAAAGGGACTGAGAACAAAAGGAGCAGCATCAGAATGCCTTTACGTACATTCTGGTGCAGCCTCAATTGGAACACGGATTACAGTTCCACGTGCTCCAGCCTCCATCTCAAAAAAGGGACACCCTAGAGCTAGCAAGGGGGCAGAAATGGGCAAGCAAAATTAGCAGGAGGCTGGAGCATTTTTGCTATGAGAAAAAGGCTAATCATTTGGAGCTTTTCTCTTCAGGGGAAAAAATGGAAGAAGACATGACCGGAGTTTATAAAATCATGTTGGGTATGCAGAAAGCAGAGAGGGAACTTTCTCTTTCCTATAATACCAAAATTCAAACGGAACGACAAAGTGTCTTGTAGCATCTGAAAGACTACCAAATTTTTGTCCTGCATAAGCTTTCATGAGCCAGAGCCCACATTGTCGGACTCATCTTCATCCATCTGAGGAAATGGGATCTGGCTCAGCCTCTGCCACAACAAAAGCCAGGTGCCACTGCTTGGTTGCAGTGATACTGGCACTGTTCCCAAATGCATACCCAGTGAACTGGATGGGCAGGAGATCCAGAACTGACATAAGAAAGTACTTTTCAGAGAATACATAATTTATGGAATTTGCTGCCAAAAGATGCAGAAGAGACCTCTAGCTTAGATGGCTTTGAAAAGGAATCAGACAAATCCATGGAGGTCTATAAATAGGGACTGCCTTTCCCCGATAAGTAGAGCCCATAGCAGTTTACAGGACATACTTAAGCATGTAAACAAACAACAATAAAACATACTTGATCTTAATAAACATTTTAAAAACCAAAAAAACAAAACAAAAACATTAAATAAAAATATTACTTCCTTACAATAAAACACAGGCTGCTCCCTTGTGGCGGCAGGTCTCTGTGAAGCTTCCCACTTGAATGTCGAGACCTTTGCCGTGGTAACAGAGCATCTATGCAGCAATTTCCCCCACACTTTCCTGGCCACAGACAAATACCCCACCTCCATCCCACTTTTTCAGGGTTGTTTTTTTTAAAAAAAATGGCTGTTGGCATATGGCTACAGCATTATAATGATCTATCTGCTGGGTCCTCTGACTCCCCAGCTTACATTTTAAAGAGAACATTTTTAGCTCTTTTCTTTGTGGAGATTTGTGTGTGTGTGTGTGTGTGTGTATGAGCTCCATTGCTGAATAGGGATTTGAACATAGGCCTCCTCAGTGATAGTCCAGCACTTTAATCAATACACTGCCCCCTTCTCCATCTTGTTCTACAATATGCCTGGGGACAATAAAGAGAGCCCCCCCCCCGGCTCTATGGGGAATCCCATTTCCATTTCATTTTAGAAGATGATGAGTTGGCTTTTATACCCCATTCTTCACTACCCGAAGGAGTCTCAGAACAGCTTACAATGTCCTTTCCTTCCTCTTCCCACAACAGACACCCTGTGAGGTGGGTGGGGCTGAGAGAGGTCTGAGAGAACTGTGACTGACCCAAGGTCACCCAGCTGGGTGCGTGTGGAGGAGTGTGGAATCAAACTCGGTTCTCCAGATTAGAGTCTGCTGCTCTTAACGGCTATACCATCCTGGCTCTTTAGGGAGGGAACTAGACTTGGCCCTGGAAAGGACAGGATACCAACTAAGCGCTTGGTTCCTCTTCCATACCCCAACTCCCCCTTTTCCTCCCTTATGTCTTCACAATTGTGACAGTGTAGCCCTTACACTCAATTAAGGCTACTATTGCATAACAATTACATTGTGCCTTTGGAACTTCCCTACACTAGTGTACCTTTTCTTATACTAGCATAGTGGATTTGGCTGTGGTTGTATCCTTGTCCAGAGAGTACTATTGCAATATAATGGTGAACACTGAGACCCCAAAGCATGTTGTGCTCTGGGGAATGATCAAATAGGAAGTGCTCCTGCACAGTCCTCATGGAAATGAATTGGGGTTCATTTCAATGGAGTTTGCACATGAGAACTCCCTGCTGGATTGTGCCCTTGAGGTTTCGTTGCTCTTGTGGTCATCTAAATAATATATTTATAGCCATTTTTAGCCTAATTTATGTGGCCCCTCCTTGACATGAAATTGTCCTATATAAAACAACTGCAGGAAAGCAACACTGACTGTGGTTACAATTTTATACTTTCGGAATCACCAGAACTAGTATTAGAAGCAATCATCAACACCCACCCTGTGTGTGCTTCACAGAGAAGATTTCCCACGCAAGTGGGTTTTTAAAGCCCTATTTTAATTAATATGGAACATGGATTTCTCAGATGCTCAAACTGCTCAGATGCACAGGTAAAACTGCAAGAGGTATTTAAAAGTCTGAAGCCAACTGAAAGGACCCACTGTGGATCCTGAGATGCCCAGAAGAAAGGCAGCATATAGCAGCCTGTGTGGTGCATCGGTTAGAGTGTTGGGCTAGGATCTGGAGGACCCAGGTTCGTATCCCTACCCTTCCATGGCAGCCCACTGGGTGACTCTAGACCAGCCATTCTCTCTCGCAGCCTAACCTACTGTTAGCCAAACTGCTTTTTGATGATTAATGAAGATGGGGAATTATGATTATTAATGTACAATTGGCATCTAAGGGAGCAAAGCCTATGTATACAGAAGTCCCGCCTTTTCCAGTAACCCAGAAATAAACGCAGAAACCAAGTCTCAAGCATACAATAAAACACAATCATACACACAATTATTCAGTCCTAAGAAATATAGATAGAAAGGGATAGCGGCATTCGCATTAGCAGGAGAATCGTTGAGGGGTGATAGTACCTGTCCTTGGCGAGATGAAGCGATCCACAGAAAAATAAGGAAGACTATGGGGGAATAAGGGTCGTATTCTGAACGAGCAGAACACGTGGTCAACTC